TTCATCATACAATATGAGGCCACAATCCTATTGATAAATAATATTCATCATACAATATGAGGCCACATGCATAGCTTATATTTATATAGTAATTGAGATGTGGAAAAATTATAGCGTCATATTTTGAATGAGTCTCAAGATTTTGAATTATTTTCTAAAATTATATACTTCACTTAGAAAATTTTAGAAGAGGCTTTCGAAGAACTACTACAAAGTGTTGGACATCGGATAAATATTGAACAAATAAAATCTACAATATTGGATTGTAAAAATTAGGGATATGTATATAATAATGGGTGTCATATGAGGAAAAACTTTTCAAGGACTATATTACCCCTATTCTTTTTTGATATTACATTCTAATACAAACTAAACTAAATTAATTTATCATTGTTAATTAATGATATTATATGTCACTTTAAATGTGTATAATTTGGTCTCTAAAACTTCCAATGTTATTATAAAACTCTACATCATATTAATTATTAATAATGTATAATAATATATTAATAGATAATTTCATGTTAGTCAAGTATTTATGGAAAGAATAGAAAATATAGAATTGTACTAAAATTATACCATGACACTCATATAGGAAAATACAAAGAACATTCTTATGTTTAGGTAATAGGACAAAATGTACAAACATAAAATTTTAGAAAACATTAGGACATTTAAGTGCAATAAGATACGCTATCTTAAATTAAAAAGAAAGTGCAACAAGATACAAGTGGAGGTATATAAGTATAATTTTGATAAATTATAAGGTATTTAAGTTCAGTTAAGCCTTTAACAGATTTGAAAACTTTGTTATCCACAAACAATAGTATATGATCCCATTGATAAATAATATTCATCATACAATATGAGGCCACATGCATAGCTTATATTTATATAGTAATTGAGATGTGGAAAAATTATAGCATCATATTTTGAATGAGTCTCAAGATTTTAAATTATTTCCTAAAATTATATACTTCACTTAGAACATTTTAGAAGAGGCTTTCGAAGAACTACTACAAAGTGTTGGACATCGGATAAATATTGAACAAATAAAATCTACAATATTGGATTGTAAAAATTAGGGATATGTAAATAATACTAGGTGTCATATGAGATAATATTCATACATAACATGACATTATAATATGTAATCTAATATAGTAATGAATTTTAAACATAAGAACTTGCATCAAGATATGTGCTTAAGATTTGGGAGAGTCGAGAGTGGAGAGATTTGGGAGAAGAATTGTGGCCTTTCGTGGGGTTTTTGGGTTCCGATTTTTATCCCAAACACGATCCAAACCCGAGCCCACAATCAAATTAAAAATGACACGATTTTCTCGATATCTTCAAAGAGATATATCGGCCATATTTTCAATAGTGGTCGATATATCAAAAAAAAAAAAAAACAAAAGAAAACAATATAAAATATTATCGAGATAAAGTCTTTGACCCAATATATTAGTCGATATAGCAATATATCGGTTGATATTTAATACAATGCCTGTAAGAGCAAATATGTAAATGTTATTTAGATATTAGTTTCTTGATTTTATATATTCAATAATTTTATGTTATTACCTTAAAATTTTAAAATTGCTCATAATTTTAGGGACCAATATTAAATTATTAAAATTTTGAGGGACAATTTATAAATAAGCGATATTTAAAAGAAGAGTTAATATTTAAAAACCCTCTCAACTATAGGGATTATCTTAAACCCCACTCAACCAATTCAATTTGACAAAACCCCCTTATTGTGAGGGGTGTTATAGATAGCCCCTCTCAAATTTGGTGCAATTTTAGAAAATACCTCTCAACTATAGCATGTCTCATAAAACCTTCCCTAATCTTTTACATTTCTATTAACAAATTTTCTTAACATAGTTACTTCAATATGTGATTTGGACAAAATACCGTATTGAAGAAAGCAATTTTAATAAAAAAGAAACCCCCAACTGATAATAAAAGGGCCACAATCAATTTATAATTCTTTTTTCCTCTATATCACCTCTTTTTCTTTCATCTGGTAAAAACCAAGGTATTTTTTTATGATTGATGGACATTTTAGTCTTTCCAAGTCAAGTACTTATCAAGACTCCATGGTATTAATTTTGAGAGGTCAGGTTTAAGTGAAAAATGTTCATAGGGATTAAATCAAAATTTTAAAGGTTAAGATAAATTATCTACAAAACACCCAAATCTTGACGGATATTTACTCAGTTTTAAATAGTTTGTGGGGAAGAGGGTGGAGTGGGTTGACATGCCCTCATAGTTGAGGGGTAGTTTTCTAAAATTAGCCTTTAAACAAAAGTACAAGTTAAGGTACATGTGATATTAATTTTATACGAGTGGAGTTCATAGCAAGTCTATCACCCAATGAACTGGTTCTGGTTATTTTTCCTTAAATTTATCCTACCCATCAACTTTGAAAATCTTTTACTATAAGAATCTCTAAGAGAAATTTAATATTTATTTGGGATGGGTATGTGATCCTTCTGATTCCCCTTATCTTTCATGATTTGTAATAAATTATTTGACAAAATAAATTAAGTTGACATTTTATATTACTCACGTTCTTATAAGTTTATGAAGCTCGTAGCTTGGATATGAATATTGTTGCAAATATCGTATTCTTCTAACTTCTTAAGCTAAAATTTTGGATGTTGTTTGACATTGGATAGATATGAATTATTTTATTAAAATACAATCAATATGAGTGCATAATATGTATAAATCATTCTCAGGCTATATTATATAATTTTCTGAAACTAGAGAGTAATCGTTTTGACAAATCAATTAGTAGTTTGGAAGATGCAAAAAAAGTACAACATCATATTTAGGAATTGATCACATAGTTTATATTTTCTTTCTTGATTGAATTTGCACATTCTATTTAGAAAATTCTAAAACAAAGTTTTTGAATATCTACAAACTCGGTTGCCGGATAAACAACAATAGAAGTAAACCACAGGTGGAAGTGATTTTTTATAACTGAACAAAATCCTTGATGACTAGATAAACCTACCATTTTTATTTGATGAATTCAAGAATTTATTTATTCATTAATAATAATAGTTTTTTTAGTATCGATCCCTTACATCATTAATATTTTGAAATTATACATTCAAATTACTAATTAATCTTAAATTATTAATATATTAAGACTTTAAGTGTAACTATTTCTCTGGAAGAAAAAATGTTAAAACCACATATGGAAATATCCAAAAAAATTTAATATATTATGATAATTATAAAGTTTTTTCAACCATGTTATAATAAATAAATAAATTTAAAGTAAAAATTGAATTATTTACCCACGTGCAGTGCACGTGCGTTCCACCTAGTTGGCTAAAAAAGTGTAATGTCTATTCATTACTCCACATAAAGAATATTATATAGTTTGTGCATTTATGTGGCAAAATTATATAAAAAAATTTAACTAGGGAATAGATTATCAATCCATTCTATGATGACTATTAAGGAAATCCACAAATTGAAACATGGTATTTTCCAGATGAAAAAACATCGAGGTGATATTGTTTTCACCATTTAAGTTCCGAAGATGTGCTTTAAGACTCAAGAACGAAGAAGAAAAAGGGACGTTTTATTTGCATTTTATAATAGGCTAGGGTTTGGAATTGATAAAGGATCGAGTTTTAGAGCTATGATGGATTTAGTTATTGTTAAAACAATTAAAAACAGGGACAAATTGGTGTTTAACTGTAAAAGTTGTCCAAGTATTAACATAAATTTAGATGAGGAGTAAATTTGAGGGAGCAAGGCAATTTGAGGGGACAAAATTAGAATTATGATGATTTGAGGGATAAATTTAAAAATACCTATAATTTGAGGGGTATATGTCTAAAAAAAACTCTTAATAATAATATATTATTAATACGTCCCATGGTGAAAAAAAAAAGAATAAAACTTTAGGCATATATGACTTGGATAGCCAACTGCTTTTTAAAGAGCTAAAGCTGATTTTCTTCTGCTCCTCCTCTTCAACGCCTACAAACCATGGAAGATTCAACTCCATTAATTTCTCTGCATCAGGCAACATGCCACTCAAGTGTTTGTTCTTATTGTTTATTATAAATGTTCCCAAATCAACGATGGAGTAGCCTTTTGAGAATTAAAAACATAAAATGATTTCGAAGGATGTTTACTGGTTTGATCTGCCAAATAACTCCCTTTTATATGCATTTTTCTTACATATACTGAATCGCCATTCACCAACATGCTGATTAACTCCTCCAATGATTATTGGGATGAGCAAAATACCGAATGCATCAAGTTCTCAAGGACACGCTTCACACGCAATGACGACTGTACATTTCTCTTCCAAGATATGGGTTATTTGCAAGTCGACCGTACTATCCCACAGTTGCAGAAGGAACCCCCCCAGCGTTCTAGCTTTGCAGATTGACCCCAGTAGTATTTGCCCAAATGTGAATAAATCTCTTCCCTGAACTTTGTCGACTCCCTTGAGAGTTAGAAAAAAAAGATTTAGTAATCAGGACTCTACCCTCATCAAAAGAATCGCAAGAGGTTTTGCACGTATTCAAAACCTACTGGACACTTTTAAGAGCGAATGAATTCACCCAAAGAATCTGTGTACAAATAAAACCGCACGGAGTCGATTCGAACCTAACACTTACAATTATTGAAAGTCACCTCTTTACATCTCATCATTAGCAGAAAAAAATGATACATAGTTATGGATTATAGACCCAGACAGTTTGGCTTCGTTGACACTGGCGTAAGAAGAGCTAAACATTTTATAAACCAAGCTCTAGTTTAATCATGTGTTGCATCACGTGCAGGTCACGCTCACTTCTCAAAGCAGTAAAATATAGGCATCAGGGCTAAATCATCAACTTAAAAGGTAATCACTTGCAGCGGGTAATGAAATCGAGGGTTGTTTATGCAAATCAGCACTAGAACTGGCTAGGGCTTAATAGTTATTTAATTATTTAATAATAGAAAAGTGGGGAAAAAAAGGAAGAAAAGGAAAATAAAAAGATCCCCAAAAGAAGACACAGACCTCTCTCCCCCGCTAGGGCGAATACTCCCATCCCCAATCGAAGCAACAAACAAAGCCCCCCCCCTCTCTCAATCATTTACCTCAATCTCATTCTCTCTTATCCTCGGACTCTTTCGATCGATGGCCGATTCATCGCCTACCAAATCAGACCTCTGATCTCCCGCCACCTATCCCCTCCGATCTCGCCGGAAAACTCCATTTAAAGATGAACGGAAAGGCAGCGGAGGATGGAGCCGCCGCCGCCGTCGCCGGCGCTGGAGTGGAAATTCTCGCAGGTCTTCGGCGAGAGGACGGCCGGCGAGGAGGTTCAAGAAGGTACGAAAGGATTGAGAATTCGTTAGATCTGAATTGGTGCTTGGCATTTGATCTCGATTTAGGGTTTCCCCCTTGGTTTTCGTGCTTGGATCGGGTTTGTTTGGTTTGTTGGTTTATTTTTTGGCGATCGGATTCGTGTTTTATGCGGGGAATTTGTTGGATTAGTGTTGAGGATTAGGTTTAGCAGCTGTCGTATTGAGAAAGGAGGGACTTTGGATGAAATTAGATTCCGATTCCTTTTCTTTCTCAAGTGTAGTCGTTTAGTTTCGGATGACTTCGTTAACTACGTTTCTTACTTTCGTGTGTGAAATTGCAGTTGACCTTCCCTTTCTGTTACTTGTATTTAGTGTATTTTATGTCGACGCAGTATGTTATGTTGTCATTATAGGTTAGCCTGATCTATCTGTGTTTGATGAAATTGACCATGGCAACGAAGAAGCCTCAAATTTTTATTTTTTTTCCGGAGCAGGCACTCACGTTTTCAATACTTTCACGCGGTTATTCTATCAGTTGGTTCTTATAGGATCCAGATACTGTCAAAACTGCTTGTTGTTAGAGTGCAGACCAGCTCATGACACTTTGCTGAATGAAATTTCTACTGTAAACTTGAAAAGTTTATTTTTTTTCCCAAACTGATTCTATCGGTATTGGGACAACTTATGCATAGCAGTTTCTTTTAACAACAGATATCATCTAACGTAATTATCAAGTTGTTTGCACGGTGCAGATGATAGGATATGTAAGGTAATTATCAAGTTGTGTGCACATGATAGAAGCGAATACCTTTACATTTTCATGGAGTTGCAGAATCATCTTTCCTTTCGGATGACACTAAATTTGTAGTTGTTTGCGATTAATGTTCTACGCTTGTAGATTATCTGAAGATTTAAGCTTAGCAAAGTTATCCAGCTATTTCTGATTTCTGATTGGACGGGGACAACGGGAGTCCTTTCTTTGAAGAAAATTGGCGAATACTTACAGGTCCGACTCCAAGTTAATGTTAGTAAGTGTTGTAAAGATGTTTAAAGCTAGTGGCTAAAGGTCTTTGGCTAGAAAGAATGCAAACACAATTGTATTACCGAGGTAGAAGACGAGGGATAAATTAAGGAATTTTGTTGAGGTATGGTAGGATGCTAATTTAGAGGTGAATAAATAGATGCCAAATTGGATGATGGGTTGAATTGTATTGGTTTTATTTATGCATTAGTTTTGCTACTTAGTTCTATTGGATGATTGAAAAAAAAGCATAGTAAATTAGAGTAAACCATAATATCATGCTATTAGTTGAAAACACCATTATAATTGATTTGTAGGAGGGAATATTGTTTTACAAAGCATAAGTTGTTAGATAGAGAATAACAATTTTTTTTATGTAGGATACTGTGGTTTGACATATGAATGAAAGGTGCAGTGCAGTGGCTTAATCCTGCAGCTAATTAGGTGGAGATATGCTGAATTAAGAATCTTGATCTAGCAATTTAGATTTTTAAGAACTTAATGAAAAATAATGTCCCAAGGCCAAACTGTAAAACCCTTTCATTTTGGGCGTTTTTGGTTTTAACAATAGTCTTGAAGTTATTGATAACAGTGCAGGACTGGGTTTGGCACATGATTGCCCTGATGTTTTCTTCACGTGTTCTAACTTCGAATTACTATTTCTTCTTACATGCATTTTGGTATTTCCGCAATTTACCAACTAGTGTAGATCTGATGTGATCATTTGTGTTCTCCTTAGCCTATCTTATATTTCTTTGATGTAGTTGTTTGCTGATCATCTTCCCATATTCAGTGACTGTCCGTCAGACTAGTAGTCCCTGTCAGCCTAACTGCTAAATTGCTACTTCAAATGTCTAATCAGCTTCGGCAATTCCTTGATGGTGCAGCTATGCAAGCAGGATCCTTAGTAGACCGGCTTTATCTTTTAAAACCACGTCATATGATAAGCTCTTTTCCCAATATAGCCATATGTTCTCCATCCACGGAGATAACAAACTAGTTGAACTTGAACCATGCCAGCCTAACTGCTATACCACCACTTTAATTCCCAATTAGGCCTTTCCAATTTGTTGGAAGGTCCAACAACTCATGAACATACTATGTAGGTTGGTTATTTCCTGAAACCATTTATCAATCAAGATCCTTTCCTAATTGGGGGACAAGTTCCTTGCACAAGGGCACATGTCTTATTAGCCTTTGAGGTTTATACAAGTATCCGATTTCTGAAAGGAGAAGGATATGAATTACAAGGTATTTTGTATTTCTATTGCTTTTTTGTTTGTGTATGTTGTTGCATATTGTTGTTCTTGGCCGTGTAGAAGCAATGTTTTAAATATCGGCCGATAAACCGATATTATCAACAATTTATTGGTTTTGGGGCCTTCCGCTATGATAAGTTCGATTCTAAATCGTTTATCGTTTTTGGATGTTTATCGTTGATAATGCGACGATAAAGTGAGTTATCGACAAATATTGTCGGTCCGAAAATCGGAATTATCGGCCTTTGGTTTGAGTTTTGATTTCAAGCAACTAGCACTTATTCAATGCACTTTAAACCCGATTCGATCCGAGTTTCTGCTGTTGCTTCGTGATCCTAAACGTAGTTATTTACATTTTGGTATATTTCTATTTCATTAAGTATGGCTAGATTACATTTTAGAATATTACATTATGTATATCACCATCCGGTAATGTCACTCCGATACATACTACTTATCCCCAATATATCCCGATATCCGTTATCTAGTATGGATTTTGATCGTCTAATAAATTCCCTATAACTGATATTTAGAACCTTGTGTAGAAGTCCTCTTTTCATACCAAGCAAGGGATAATGCCTTATCTTCCTCATTAACAACTAGAAAGGTGAACGGATTGGAGAGAAGGAAGTACATAATAATGCTCTACAACAACAATGGTGGGCGAATGCCCGTGCTCTTTCAAACATGTGGCCAATAAATGAAAAGAGTTCTGGAAAAGGAAAGGAAAACATTCCTTGTGTATGGCTGTCAAAGTTTCTTTTCCAAGGCATGTTAATGAACTATATCATGTGAGTACATAATTGTGTGCAAGGAACCGCCACTCGCATCATCCTATTAATCCAAACATATTTTATCCATAACTCTTCAGATTTGCTCACCCTATTTTTCATTTTGTTGCTGATGTGTTTGTTTTTGCATGCATGTCTGCATCCGTGGATTTGGGGGGTGGGGGTGGGATTGAGGAATGCAATGGTAGCCTAAGAGTTGACGTGATCTGGTTTAAGACTGTAAGTAACATAGTGGCAAGAGTAAAGAATTTTGCAAGCTTGCATTATTCTTTTTCAACCTAGTTGAAAGATTTAACAAATTTGTTGATGTAATGACAGCCTTAAGGTTTAACATAGTATTATTTTTTATTGGAATGTAATGACAGGCGTAGAAGAACTTTGCAACCTTGCTGTATGCATTTCTTTCTTTTAACCTAACTTGGATATTACTTCAAACTAGTTTCCCTCTGAAACTTTTCTGCTAGGAAGAGATGTAAGGAAAGCATGATACCTATGTAGAGCTTTTATTGTACATAATGGGTGTGCGTTCTTTAAAAAATGTCCTTTTGCATTAGCTGCTTTGCATGGGTTTTGTACTAATGATCTGAGTTGTAATCAGGGCAAGGCCGCAAGAGTTTGGAATAGTATAGTTTCAATGCCGGGTAAATGGTAATATAGAGCCTAGAAGTCAACTTAGCGACCTAAAAATATGTAGCTCCTTTTCAACTTAATTGGAATGTTGTCCTATACTGGTATCCTCTTGGCCATATGTTCCTGCAGATTGGCTTTAGCAGCCCCTTCTCAGGAAGTTTGTACAACTTGTTTTGTGTAGCTAAGCCCACCAATTATTCTTTATTAAGTCTTCAACCACCTTAGAAGATCACGATGAGAACACTATAGTTTATAATGAACTGTAGCAAATTTTGTTCTTGTTTCTGCATGTTGATGCTCTCGGATGCATCAGCTTGTAAGAATATAGCACCCTGCATTGCATGGTTTAAAATTTTCCTTGTTATTCTAATAAACTTTTGTATTTTTGCATTCATAATTGCTTCTAACACCTTTGTCTGTAAATGCTTCTGTTTGTCAACTATAAAGGAGGCTTAAATAGAGTTACATAATATAATAGTCTTCATTGTTTACATATACTTACTGAAGTCACTGCTTTTCTGAACTTCTATTTTTTCTATTTTAGTTATAGGTTACGACCACTGAAAAAAATTCTGTTGTCCATTGAATAAGATATTAATTCCCGTCATAGAGATAGTTCTCTTTTGGTTTTATGTTAAGAGAGGTCAAATCTAATGTAGCTACATTTGTTCACTCATAATTTACCTTTCTAAGAGTTCAGATTTTACTTAACATGCCTATATATGTAATATGTGCATGCATGTGAATATATTCCTATACACAATTTGCGTCATCCACTTTCTTAACTATGCTATTTCCCTATGTAATCTCATTCATTGTTTTGCTATGTAGCTCATCATGCTTGTTGCAATGAGTTCTCTCTTATGGTATGCTGGCACTTTTTTGTATGCTTATTGGCAGTTACTAATGAACTCTTTTCACTGCAGTTGACATTATTTCAGCTATAGAATTTGACAAATCTGGAGATCATCTTGCTACTGGAGATAGAGGAGGACGTGTAGTTTTATTTGAAAGGACAGATGTTAAGGATGTAAGTTCAATTACATATTTTTTCCTACTGTAATTTCCAGTTCACTGTGTTTTTATATCTCTGTAGCTGTTTTTTCCCCTTACTCTGCAATCATTTACATCTTTCTTTACCTGTCATGTAGCATGGTTCTCGAAGGGAACAAGAAAAGTCAGATTATCCAATCAGGCATCCAGAATTCCGTTATAAAACAGAATTCCAAAGCCATGAACCTGAGGTAACATCTATAAGAATTTCTCACTAAATGTGACGTTTTCTTTTTTTATTTTTCTGCGCTGTGTTCTTTATAGCCTGATGTTGAATTGTTGATACATGCAGTTCGATTACCTTAAAAGTTTGGAAATAGAAGAGAAGATAAATAAGATCCGTTGGTGCCAGACAGCAAATGGTGCACTCTTTCTCCTCTCCACAAATGACAAAACAATCAAATACTGGAAGGTGGACACACAGCTTTGGTTATCAATATTTATTCTTTTACAACAAGTGTTTTTAGATTGCAAGGTTGTGTTTATCTATTGTTTTGTAAATCATATGTCATCCTTCTGTTTATGTTTTAAATTGGTACGTTGTTACATATGTTATTCTGTCCCCTTTTTTTCTCAATAAATATGTGGGTCACAGATGTTCCTTGCTGTAGTTGTGCAATAGATTGATATCAATCAAAATTCTATGAGCCTTATTTGGACGAGGAAGTAACGTATCAAAATGGTATGCTTGTTAATGTCATTCTTATTTTCACTTGCATGAGGGAATTATGGAGGGATAAAAACCAATACTATGGCGAGCTTTCCCATGCAGATGTGGTGGTTGTTAAAAAACTCATATATGAGAGAAATTGGACATTATGGTACTCGCCGTATTCCATGCTAAATGATTTAGTGCTTCTACAAAACAAGGCTTTAAGAATTTTTAATGAAGAGTTCCTGTCACCTTTTCCCTTTTTCACCTGTAGATTTTATAGAGGACTTATCTATTCATAGATGCTCTCTTTGTTACCTTTAAGTCCATGATCTTAAAGTCATTAATGGCTAGTTCTGTTTTTTCTTGCTATGAAACAGGTGCAAGAGAAGAAAGTGAAGAGAGTTTCTGAGGTGAATGTGGACCCTTCACAAGGAAATGGCAGCATGGGTAGCCCTAGCACATCTAATTCTAGAGGACATCTTCCAAATGGTGGATGTTTGGAAAGGCCATCCGGTTATTTGAGCAATGACTTCTCATTTCCTCCTGGAGGATTTCCATCTTTGCGGTTACCTGTGGTAGTTGTACTTAGCCCAATGAAGCAGATGTACCTTTATAGTGTATACTTCATGCATAATGCACACATCGGCTGTAAACGATCACATACTTCACACAACTACACATGCAGTGGACATGTTTGCTGTACTTCCTATGGTTTAATAATAATCTATATTGCATTGTGTTTCTAACTGGAGGGGAATGGACAGTGGACTGTGTATGTTGGCCTACTAGTGAATAATATTGCCTAGGTTATTGGTTCTCACTATTCATGTATGATGCCTGTTATCTTATTTTATCGATTGTATATACATAAGGACTGATCTGTTGGATCTTCTTATTACTGTGGTTAAGCAGGGACATTGATACTTGTTGTATGTTCTTTCTTCAGGTAGCCAGCCAGGAGACAAGCCTTGCTGCTAGATGTCGAAGAATATATGCTCATGCTCATGATTATCACATCAATTCCATTTCGAATAACAGGTTCTTTAATGCATTTTGGCTTTCATCATGTAGTTGCCTACTCTTACATTAAAATATAAACATATGATTTCTTGGTCAGACTGATGGTTACCTTATGGCACCTTAGCTTAGGATAGTCAAGCCTAATGCATTTTCACGACCACCTGGCTGGATCGTGAAGTCTTTCACCCCCCCCCCCCCCCCCCCCCCCCGCGCGAAAAAAAACCAAAAAAGAAAAAAAGGGAAAGAAAAATACAACCATAGTTGCCTTTGCCGTTAATTTAATACAAATTCTAGCAAACTTCAGGTGATAAAGAACAAGAAACTTGCTATTGGCTATGCAGCTGAACATAATTCAGCTTATAGTTCTTTTGTCTACTTTGATTATTTGGGGAGCTGGTGCATGGGATGGGTGGCTTGTTACCATGAGAACGAGGCAGGCAACCACACTTGGTTCTAAAATTGGACAGAATCAAGAGGATGCTGTAAACTGTACATGGTTATAAGCAAATCCTGTCCAAATACTTTTAGAAGGTTTTAATTCAATGCTTACAAGACTTGTGGTTTTCTTTCCAACATTTTTTTGGCTGCAAGTCTTGACGCTAGGTATCAATATTCTCTTTTGTAACTTTTGTTTTTTTGGACCATCACATGGTAGCTATTTTATTCTAATTGTGATGGAAGTCTATGTGGAGAAATTCCATATGTTTGGCAGGAAATTTTGAGACGTTGTGCATTTTCTACTTCTGAGTACTAAAATTGTCTGGATGAAGGATTTTTGCTTGAATATTTGCCTAGTGTTGCTCAATGGTTAATTGATTAGAAGATGTCCTTTCTGCAATTTCAGAACAATTTTGTTATCTTGTAAATTCTCTTTTGTCTGCTTGTTACTACGGCTATTCTTTTTATCCATGATAAACCTGTGCTGTGTGCCCTTGGGTAAAGGCGTTATTTTCAGTTAGCTAGCTGAGAATTTGGATTTTCGTACTTAACGAATCTAAAATGAATTCTTGAATAATTTTTGGATATGCGTAGGGCATTTCTCTAACATGTCTAAAAGTTGAAATCATGTATATATGACGCATGCCATCAATTTTATAATAAAGTATTTATTTTGTTGAGACTTCTGTTGTAAATGTACTCTGGTGTCTCTTGAATACTACTCTTTTTACACATGGGCATACTGTTCCTCTAAATTTTCATGGTAAATTGTAGTGCCGGTGATAGAAAAAACTTTCTATTATTAGTAGGATTTTGCAAATGTTGATATATGTCAATTAGTCTACATGCAAGGTTCATCATATACTTACTGACTATTGTTTTAGTTTGGACGGATCTGCTTGATCTTCTTTCTAAAAAAAAATTTGTTCATAATTAAGGTAACTTATGTTTTTCTTTATTGTTTTCCAGTGATGGTGAGACTTTCATATCAGCTGATGATTTGCGGATTAACCTTTGGAATTTGGAAATTAGCAACCAGAGTTTCAACATTGTTGATGTGAAGCCTGCAAATATGGAGGATCTAACTGGTATTAGTCCTGGCCACAATATGAATTTGTAATCTTTTACCATAAAAGTAGCAGAACGTTTTGATGAAAATAGGCTCTACAAAGTCTTTTACTTGTTTTTAAAAATAAATTCTCACTTTTTCTGTGCCATTTTGCTTCTGGTTTTTATTTGAATTATATTTCTCCAAGGGGAAAAGTGTCCTTATTGTGTGTTCTGTGGTATATTTCTTGAGCAAAGGGTCCAAATGTACAAGTGAGTGATTGACAGAGTTGATTGTTTCTGAGTTTGCACCAGTCATTGTCAACTACTTATGCTGTGAAATAAAATGAGATGCCATATGGTGTGGAACCTTCTTTCATTGTGTAGAAACCATGTGCATTTGCTTTTATGTTTTGTACATGTTATTGTACATTGGTACGAAATAAAATGAGTTACCACATGTTAGAAATTGAATCTGCACAAGTAACACAAGTCACACAACTGTAGATGAACACGGCCTCAATATCAAGCTTGTTCCTTAGATTTTATCGTGTAACGGTTTCTTCTTACTGATCCCTTTTTAAGGGGGGCAACACCAGCTATAATGCAATTTGGCAACTTTCCACTAACCTGGTTAAGGCCTTAACTGGCTAGTTATGTCATGATTACTAGGTTGTGTTTGTCAACCCTCCACTAACCTGGTTAAGGCTTAAACCGGATAAGATCTGATCCAAGGGGGGAGGTGGTCCAATTCTAACCGGTTAAGGGCCAAATTTTGAACTAAGAAAATTAGTTTTAGAGCTGACTTAGTTTTAGCTAATAAAAAAAATCTAAGCCCTTAACCTGGTTCGTGGGAAGGTTGTCAACTGTCCCCTAAAATTTTCCTGGGTTGTGATTTGTAGGCATTGCCTTAGGTACTCATTTATACCTGTACTGATGTATCAGTTTTGGTGAGAAGCATTGGTTCCTTTTAGTATGCTTATTATCTTGTAGTGACAGATTTATGTATGATTGTTTATATGATAGTTTATGCGCTTGCATTTTGATTTTTCCATGTTAGTTTCAAACTAGGTTACCTGGGTGATGTAGCTGTACCCATAACGGACACGTACCCAACACGTCCTCTTGCCCAAACATCGTGGACACTCCTTGGATGTATGCATGCATTTATTCAAGCATTTATTCAAACATCGTGGACACTCCTTGGACGTATATCCTACACTTCATGTCCATTTCTTGAAACTCGTTAGACATGGATTGAGTTTGTTTTAACCATATCCAAGTTAAAAACTATTATTTAATAGGGTGGTTCGAGTGTCTGGTTAAAAATGATCTCTTTTCAATTTATAATAATCAATAAAATGAAAGAAACTTAAAAATAGGATATAAATTTAAGTCCAGATAGCACGTTAATTGAAAAATAATAATGATCTCATCTAAATTATTAATTTTAATCTATACATATAGCCGTGTCTCTGTACCCTACATTTCACAGACTTGCTCTGCCCCATACCTGCACTCATACCGGTACCCGTACCTATTTCCATGCAACTTAGGTTTCAAATATTCCCCATGTTGTTGCATAAGTGTACTTTGGCATCTATTCTTTAGTTTTCTTGTTCTTTCCTTTGGTCCTTGCTTTTGTTTTGTAGAACATCAAGCTCGTTTTCTATTGCATAACCATCAGGTTCTTTTGCTTTCCCCATGTTGTTGCACTAGTGTAGTTTGAAAAGAGGCTTTAGTAATGGAAAATGATACAAATTAGGATTGTAGAGTAAACCGGTAATATGAGTTCCATACTTAATGGTCATTGTGTATGCCCAATATCTGACAAAGATGGGTAATCAAAGAAGAACTTTTTCATTTTAGCACTTGATCCTTTCATTTTCTATTTGCCTTCTTGCTTTACTGTTGAATGGCATGCTGTAGAAGATGGAGATGTCTTGGTCTGCGTCCAGTTTGTGATTGGGCAATATTTTTCATTAATGATGAAGAATTGCCAACACTTCTACAAATTCAAGGATTTTGAGAATGTTCCCACAATTGAATTGATGTTATATAGGTCTATCTCTGCTCATTCAAGTTTAAATAATTGACATAAAATGTATTCTTACTAATGGTGAAACTATATCTGCCCTTCTAAGTTACATTTTGATTGATAGAGGTTTAGATATTTGAAATATGTCTGTCTGGTGGATGTAATAAAATAATTCTGAATAACATTTCCTTCAAAATGCAGAGGTGATAACATCCGCAGAATTCCACCCTACCCATTGTAATACATTAGCATATAGTAGCTCTAAGGGCTCAATACGGCTTATTGATTTGCGGCAATCAGCCTTGTGCGATAACCACTCTAAGCTGTAAGTGAACCATTGCTTTTGTTTACATTTCACTAGATTATTCTATACGTGTTTCGATGGAGTTCTTACTTAAAAGTATTTGAATTTTTATTTCAAGTTTTTACTTTTGTTACCGCCATAGCTGATGACATACCCCTACAGGTTTGAAGAGCATGAAGCCCCGGGTTCAAGATCATTTTTTACTGAGATCATTGCTTCAATTTCAGATATTAAATTTGGGAAGGATGGGAGACACATTCTGAGCCGTGATTACATGACTCTTAAGGTTGAAGCTTCTCAGCTTTTTATCAATAAGTTTTCAATTATTTCCTTTTCTAGATCAGTAAGGAATATAAAGTCTGTTTTCTGATACTGCATCATGATATATGTTAATGCATTCTGTTCGTTATCTGCTACCAAGATTGATAATTGCCTTCATTTCTGCTGTTGCCACCTCTCACACAGACATTTGTGATATACTTAAATAATGAAAACATAAAATAACATTGGATTTTCGGTCTAAAAGTCTTGTTAAACAAGGTTTTATATACATTGTAGTGATTCGATATAGGGATTCAGGCTAAAGATCTCTCTCGCTGTGTGTGTCTGCTCGCCCATGTGTGAGTGCACACACACTTGCCCACTTTCATGTGCATCTGTCTTTTTTCTTTTCTAAACTTTAACTTGTGCCCCAATGTTCTTACACGTGCACAAGAACAAAAGTCCTTCTACAAATCTTTGGGGTTGGCTGTTTGAGTTGTTTTCCTGCTTTCACATTCATAACTGCTGACTGCTGCTATCTATCCAAATGTTCTCCTTTATCCTGACTGCTGCTATCTATGTAAATGTTCTCCTTTATCCTGACATGGTATTGTCATTGAAAAGAAGATGGGATTGTTCATGGATGTCCTCATGGTTCAAAGGCATTTTGGGTTACTTGCAATGGCATCTTTCTAACTTTCATTGTTCTTGAGCTCAATGGCATTTTGTTTGCAACTTTGCATCTTGTTAACTTCTGTTGTGAACACTGCATCATATTGGTAATCCTTCCTTGTTTTTCTGTTCTTTTTTCTATGCATATCCTTGCAAATTTTATTCCTCATGTCTTCTTAACAAGTGAAGTGGGCAGATGAGTGCCTGTGTGAGCATCATTTTTCTACTGAACCTATATATTTGCAAATATTAAATGGATAACTAAATTCAGGTAAGTCAATTCAAAAGGGATCTGAAACTAATTTTTCTTTTCGTTGCTTCACACTTTATCAACAAATCAGACACAAAGGAAACTTATTTGATTGTTTAGGGTGTGTTTGGCAATTGCTTGAAACTGGGCCAGGTTTGAAGCTGGCCCAGTTTTTGTTTGTTTTTTGTTTGGTTAAAACAAGGCTAGAATAGGCCCAGTTTTTTAAAGCCAAAATTTGTTTTTTAAATGGGTTCTTTTCCAAACCACTCCCCTATGGGACAACCCTAGCCCAGTTTAGGATAAAAGCGGGCCACGATCAGTCTAACCCATTTTTAAACGTTTTGCCATACTGACCCTTAGTTTATGAAACATAACAGTATCAGTGAGCTTCGTCTATTGGTTTCACCAATAATCCACTCATCTTGCAAGTAAACCCAGTCAGTTGCTCTGAGATGCATGCAATTATCACCTATTTGGTATCTTGCATTGCTGTGAAATCACTTGTGTGCAAGTCTGTGAATTCACTTGTGTTGTTTGAATTTATCGAGATTGCTCAAAATGAGTCCAATTACACTTCCTCTCTCTCATATTCAAAGAGATGAGAAGGATTATACTTCATGGAGGAACAAAGAAACGAAGGAGGAGACTGCTTCACAGATGAGGAGGAGATCATTGGGAGGATTTGTTTTTGCTACCGTGAAAGCTACATATGAAACTTTGGTTTTCACTGATATCATGGTCGAGAATACTGTCATGCTAAGGGAACCATGGAAGCTTTGGTGATATTAAACTTCATCTCACTTGAGCAATTTGGGAGGATGTGTTTTGACCACCACGTAAGCTACATATAAACCTTTGATTGTCACTGATATAATGGGCCAAGTATACTGTCATGCTAAGGGAATCCCTGAAGCTTTGGTGATATTAAATTTCAAATGACTTAAGCAATTTGCGGAGTTGTGCATATCATATCAATTGGGGAGCTCTTTTCAAATTAAACTTAATTTCGTGGAAGATTATCAAAAAGCCCTTAAAATGAGCAACTTTTCTTGTATAATGTATCTGTTTGAAGACTTCCCAAATTAAGCCTTTATTCCTGGACTTAAAAAGTCTTAAAATAAACATCACTTGTGCAGTTGGTTGGATGCTTTTGTGTTCTGTCGTTGTTGGTCTGGTAACCAGTTGCATCCATCTTATCTCACCACATGTCACTAGAAGAATGAACAAATAGTAAATTCTATGCGCAAAAAGCGACCATCTTTATTGACATACTACCATCAAGGCTTAAGAAGTGATGTTCTCATTGCTTTCTAGGTGCAGTGGAGGTTCCAGATTTTTTTTTTTATAGTGGGGCTCACATCAAGTATCTATTGCCAGTTGCATCCACCTTATCTCACCACATGTCACGAGAAGAATGAACAAATAGTAATTTTTATGCACAAAAACTAACTCATCTTTATAGACAATACTGCTAGTGCTATCAAGGGTTAAAGAGTGATTTTGTCATTGCTTTTTAGGTGCAATGGCAGGTCCAGAGAATTTTTTTAGCGGGGCGGATGACAAGTATCTGTTTACATAACAATAAAAAATAAAAATATAATTAAAATACTTCACTATTATCCGTCCCTGTTTGTGGTCGTATTTGATGATCTTGTCTTCTGTAAACTTGTTCCTAGCTAATGCCTTTTATTTGGGTAATTTATTTTTTTCTTTTCTTGCTTTGACATAATAGTATGTGAGGTAACGGGTATTGTCTAGTCAAGAGCATGAAAGTTAATGGTAATTTTATCCTGTTTATTTTGTGGAACTGAGGGCTGAGCAAATTTGTAACACTCCATATGTTCAATTTTTCCTTAATTTATCAAGGAATTAGTTATTATATTATCCAGATTGGTAGCATCATTGCACAACTTCTCTACATAATTTATGTCAAATTCTTATTTAGTCTTATAATTGTGATTTCAGCTGTGGGACATAAACATGGACAGTGGTCCGGTTGCAACGTTCCAAGTCCATGAATATTTAAGGCCTAGGGTAAATATTTTTTTACAAATTTGTATTTCATTAATTAATTTATCTGTACGCTTTGGATCCAGCTTTCCCTGACTTCTCTTTCTTTCTTTCGTTTTTGAGTGGAACCATGATGCAGACTATTGTTATTCTCATGATTGTCCTCATTTTGTACAGCTATGTGATTTATATGAAAATGATTCAATTTTCGACAAATTTGAATGCTGTCTTAGTGGAGATGGACAGAGAGTAGCCACTGGTTCATATAGGTACTCATTCTCGTTACTGTACTATCTTATAGCTGCATACATCTGATACTAATGTCCGAGATTTGTTTCTGTGTCATCAGCAATCTTTTTCGTGTATTTGGTTGTGCTGCTGGAAGCACTGAGGCAACAACTTTGGAAGCAAGCAAAAATCCTATGAGGTATAGTTTTCATGTCGATTGCAATTTTGGTCGATCTTCAGTAAGAAACAATCTATATAAAAAAACAGCTGAAGTGCCAAAGAGAGAAATAAAATTCCTCCAAAACCGAAAAAAAAATGATGATTATGGTCTACAACCTGGTAAAAAAAACGTGCGAAAAGAAATCACCATATTTTGGATGCTTGAAAACAATGAATTAGCGCGACATGTAGATGCTATTACAAAATCTTCTGTAGGTTTGATTCGGTATTAAAGAAGCATATAAAATATTTGATCTTCATATATCTTGGGTATGGATGCTATCGTACACAGCACACACTCACACTCGAAGAAGTGTGCTCCCACAAAAAAAAAGGAGAAAAGAAAATGAGCCTATGGCACCCCAAGGTAAAAAAAAAAAAGGGTTTGCTGCTGCCTCACATCCAGTCTCTCTAGTCTCTACTACTATTCTTTGAAGATATCGTCCACCTGGTTTAAAGACTATTTGGCAAATGGAATGCTCTGTCCCAAGATGTTGACATGTCAGGAAATTTGATGAATGCTGTAATAATTTTATCTGATTTTTTTCATGCTGTTTATATAGGAGACAAGTTCAGACACCTTCAAGACCTGCAAGATCTTTGACCAGTCTAACACGGGTTGTCAGAAGAGGTTAGTATTCACCCATTAGTAATTTATTCTTGCTGGCTTCATTACTTTGCTCGATCTATGCTCGAGTGTGTATTGTTTTCTCCTCACTTGAATATGTTCCCCCAGGGGGAGCTGAAAGCCCAGGACTGGATGCGAATGGAAACTCATATGACTTCTCTACCAAATTACTCCATTTGGCATGGCACCCAACAGAGAACTCAATTGCCTGTGCTGCTGCAAACAGTTTGTACATGTATTATGCATAGATTTGATGGGCATGGGGAGATGTTTCACTTGACAAGAATTCTTTTAATCTTTTCTTTTGGGGAGGTTACTTTTGGTGAAAGCTGTTAGCTTTACATGCAACCAAGAAGAATCTGGAGGAGGGTATCATAGGCTGAGTTACACGTGTTTCATATCGGGGGGCCAGAGCAGGTTGCCAGAAAATCCAAGAGGAAGTTAATTTGTCTTTTGTTCCCGGGAGAGCAGCCGAGTTCTGATTCTTTTTCAGAAAAGACCCACTTATTACCTTTCTTCTTCTTCTGGTCCCGTTATGCGCTTGTAGCTCTTCTTCAAAGAAAACCAGGGAGGCTTTTTAAGAGGCCTGTGTCTAAGATACCAACAAGCACCCAGCATGAAAATGTGGGATTTGTATTTGTTGTTAGGTTATGCATTTTGAGGCTTGTGAATGTTGTTATAATTATTATTTTCCATTTCTTCTGTGCTAACTAACCCTATTCCCTTATTTAAAGAGTTGTTAGCCTCTTGTTCTTGAGCCTTTTGAATAATGAATAGCTAATCATTAGCTTTGCCTGTGTGTTAGTACTCTCTGGGCATTCTCAGATTTTCTACGTGCGTCTTGTCGTTTTCATTTGCTCATTTGTTCTTCGTTTGGACCTTGTGTAAGTTTTCTACGTGAAAAAGATCTTTGGTGTGTTTTCGCGGGAAAATTTCTTTTCCCCTTCGTGACGTGGCAGAATGTGATTCTAGCATGTTGGCGCGCGCTACGCATTCTCTCGTGACTCCTTGCCCGCGACGCGTGGTTCTGAGCCACAAATGAGAAAGCAGAACTCCAAAGGCCCAAAGTCAACACTTTTTCAAACCTACATATCAAGCTTATTTTCCCTAGTACCTTTTTTTAATGTTTCCCCCCCAACACTTCGATACCCTGAAGTTCACATTTATTTAACTTTGTTTTTGACATACTCTAAAATTTTGGGTATAAACTCGATAAAAATGCGTAGACTTTGAGATAGCAAAGTGTCGGAAGAATCAAAGTTAAAAATATGTAGGCTCTGGGATATCAAAGTGTCAGAAAAAACTTTGGGTGTTAAAAGTCAGTAAAAAGACGTAAATTTTTGACATAAAATTGCCAAATAAAAACGGTGGGGGCATCAAAGTTAAAATAATAATAATAATATTATCTGAACTTTGGACTAGCAAAGTGAAAATAACCCTTATCCTTTCTTTCATCTTAACTGGGCGGTGTCTTGTGTCGTATCACAAAGCCTTCTGAATAGCCCAGGAAATTCTATCTTAAACTCTTACTAGGCTTCTTATTGGGCCTTAAATAATTTCAAATGACTTGCTAGTCGGCCTCGTCTTCAAAATTTACAGCGATCATCTTCATTTCTAACCGTTTAAAGTCTGAACTCACCCGACCCCATCGCTCCGCAGCGTACAACTTAAAAGATTCAAATTCGATTGCACACCTGGCGCTCGACCATACCCCCATTCACCCCCCCCCAGGAAATTCTATCTTAAACTCTTACTAGGCTTCTTATTGGGCCTTAAATAATTTCAAATGACTTGCTAGTCGGCCTCGTCTTCAAAATTTACAGCGATCATCTTCATTTCTAACCGTTTAAAGTCTGAACTCACCCGACCCCATCGCTCCGCAGCGTACAACTTAAAAGATTCAAATTCGATTGCACACCTGGCGCTCGACCATACCCCCATTCACCCCCCGCACTTCCCCCCGATTTCAAAACCTCCGTCCCCAAAAACCCTAACCCTAGCCCTAACTGCCCCCAAAAACCCTCGCCCAAATTCCCCAAAACCCTAGCTCTAGGGTTCAAATTTCTCCCCCTTAATGGATCCCGTCCTCATTGAGTCCCCAACCGATGCAAAATCCCCCAACTTCAACGTCGTCTTCAACCTTAACTACGGCCCCATGCTCAAGGAGTCCATCGACCGCTTCCTCAGCTCAATCCAAACCCAAACCCTAGATTTCTCCGCCTTCCGCTCGATTTTCTCCAGATTTCTGCAGTCTTCCGCGGACCCTCCCCTAGAAATCATCTTGTTCTACTGTGCGATTAACTACCACGAGTCTCTTTCTTGCGCGAGGAGCACTCTCGATCGAGTCGTTGCGATCAAGAACTTGCTTCAGTGTCTAGCTGCTTGCTCTTCTTCTTGCAGTGGATTGAAGTCCATTGCTCTTCTGGCTCCGGCGGTTGCTGATCTCTATAGCTGTGTTTTGGAAGAGGAGAAGGTCAGTGGGAAGGAGGGGAAGAAGTTGAGGAGGGAGATTGAGGGGTTGATCGAGGGGACTCTTAGTTACATTAGCATTTGTAGTGGTAAGAGCTGTGAATTCGAGGATTTTGGTACTGGGTTGCTCCCTTGCTTCCTCGATTTGGTTAGGGTTTGGACGGTGAGGAGGTCCGGAGAAGGAAGTGGATTGGAGGTGTTTTTTCCTTTGGTAAGTAGGGAGATTAGGGGGAAGTTTAAGGAGGAAGGATGTGGAGTTGGGTATTTGGCTGGTGTTGTGATTGTTGAGGCTTTTCTGCTGAAGTTATGCTTGAAGGTCCGAGCTGGTGGGTCCTCGAGGGAGGACTTGCAGAAGGAGTTGAGGGTTTGGGCTGTTAGCTCAGTCACTGTGTTCCGGAATCACTTCTTTTTTGGTAATTACTTCTTTCATGCGGAATACTTTAAGGATGCTTTAGTTTTAGATTTTAGATCGAATGCTTTTGTTAAAAAATTCATTGTTTTTGCTTACTCGTTTTATCAAGTGTTAGTTACTGGGATATAATACACTTACATTGAAGTTATGGAATCAAATATAGTTAAGTTTAGGTGTTTTACACTTTTATATAGATTAATAAGTAGATTAACTGATTAATTGCTGATATCCAATGTGAGTTTGATGAATGGTAAATTTTGGGAAAGTGCCATGTGCTCTGTCAAATTGGTCCTGTTTGTGTTTTTTATTAGCATTTATCTGGTTCATGTTATATCCTTGTGGAAAACTTTGAACTGCATGGAATGTAATTTAAGGTCACAATGTAAGAATGCATACATATTAAAAGCTACGGTATGGATGCTTGTAAATAATAGCATAAAATATAATGATGTGATTCTGGTGTAACATAAAAAGAGGTTGAGTTTCCTTGGATTCCTCATGGAACCTCTACACACATTGCTTGCTTATTTCCTATATAGCACGAACACTTCAACATGAGTTGTGTCCGGCACGCTTATCAGACACGATACTTCTGTTTTCCATGTACTTTAAAGTATTCACATATCAGAAACTGTACTTCTGTTTTTGTGTCCACATTTGCCTATGTATCTTATTTCCCTATCTGCATTTGCGCCTATTCAACATAGTATATGTTCTATTTCTTGGTGAACAATGATTCTTTGACGAATTATTGGCACAATATACACTTGGAGTTCTATATTTTCTATCTTCTTGTTTTCCCCCCTTCCTTGTAGACGTTTTTTCAAGTAACTGTGGGGCTACATTTTCTGATTAGATTTTGATTTCTGTATGGTGAAAAGCAGAAATATTGCTGAAGTTGCTGCTGGACCCAACATTGCCTGTTTTGGCCCTCTTAGTAAGTACTTCACCGAGCTGTGTTGTATTCCGTTAAGATGTTTATCCTACACGTGGTGAAGCTTTTTACTTGCTGACAATATGTATCCAACTATGTCTAGATGTTATACATGACATTCTTAATCTACATCCCCTTATCCCTACTCCCCTGCAACCCCACATTTTTCCAATTTACATCACAGTATTCATATACGTATTTCATTTATGTACATATTTCTCAAGATTTCTACCTTTTATTAGCAAACAACTTTAACTATTTAAAATATAGGGGTGCCTCTGTGCACATTTTCTGATGAAATGACAGATGGTAGTCCTTTTCTTTGTCAATATCTAAATTTGTTCTTTGTCACAAAATCCATTGAGATGGTAAAAGGCAAATATTTGATTACTTTCAAATTGTCACTCGGGAAAGAGATAGTGTCAACATATTACTTGGAATCTTACAACCATGATTTTTGGTTCTACCATCTTGGTCAACCTTGTTACATCGTTACTAGGACTCATGGGCAAAGAATCTGGTGTGACCTTGCAATATGTATTTGCTGGTACAATTTGTCAATTTGAATCATGGGCCTAGCACTTACAATTTATAGTCTTAACAAATAACCTGCAAACCTATTATTCATATACAATACATGTTCCTATGGTTTCAGGGTACTATTTTTTTTTCTTTGCAAAAAGATTTATATCATAGAATCCTTCAAACTTACAGTTAACGAGTCCTTTTAGTACTCAATTTTCAGTACAACCTTTCTGATATCCTTTTTCCTTCTAGAAAGGAATTGTATATCTATAATAGCAGCTATCAGCTTGTTAAGAATGTTCAGAACATAGACTATATATTAGAGCTATGGTTTGTGGGATACCTCTCCCAACAGAGAGTTTATGGGTCTGGCACATCTTGATGCAATACCCTGATACTAACACATGTGGAGGCTATTTTACCTCAATTTTTTTAATAAAAGCACCTACCTCAAAAAGGCTCTTCAAAATGTGTGGCACTAGGTCCTTTACTTCTTCAGAAAAATGTAGTTTCATACTTATCATGTCAGTGGATAAAGAAAGTGGTGTTGATGGATGTTGGTTATTCATAGATAATTGTGGTAAAATTAAATCTTTGTTCATCTATGAATAGTGTCAACTATGCATGCTTATACGGGTCAAGCATATATGTACTGAAGCGAATATTCTTTTGTACCTCTTTCCTCATGTCTAGACTTTTGAGTAATTATCGTGTCCAGCACCATGTGTACGTGATGGAGCAGAGCAGGACAATAAGTAATTCTCGTTTTTGGTTTAATCTTAGAAATATAAAGTCTTGTTCATAAACTTTTATCTTCCTCTAAAGATTATTACTGATTTTTTCTTTGGTTTAATAGAATAGTTATTCATAGATAATTGTGGTAAAATTAAGTCTTTGTCATCTATGAATAGCGTCAACTACACATATTTATATGGATCAAGCATATATATGTACCCGAACGAATATTCTTTTGTACCTGTTTCCTTCTGTCTAGACTTTTGAGTAATTATCGTGGCCAGCACCATGTGTACGTGTTGGAGCAGGACAATAAGTAATTGCCATTTTTTCTTTAATCTTAGAAACATAAAGTCTTGTTCGTAATCTTTTATCTTCCTCGAAAGATTATTACTAATTATTTTCTTTGGTTTAAGAGAACAGTTATATGGCTAATCATGAACTCATTAAGCTAGGGGCAAAAATGGCAAAAATTGTCTGTTGTGAGTGTTTCTTTAAAAAAAAATTTAATAGTGTATATAGATGAAGGTGGTTTTTTTTACAAATTTGGGAAATTTCAGAGGATTAGCAAGCACGAAATTTGACAGTTCAGGAGTCTTTTCTTGAGGTTAATAATATATGAGGGTTTATTTAAATGAATTCTTCTTTGTTTAAATTGACTATCTGAGATTCTGAATTATACTGAAAGTTCTGCTTGATCAACCTGTATCATAATGTGCTTATGTATGCTGCTTCTTATGGGAACACTCGAGTTCATATGTATTATCTAATCTGAAAACCTCTGCTACCCAGGATTATAAAGATGAGAACCTAATTCGAGGCATCATCTATGATGTTGTGATATTGGTAGATTATTCTTTCATTAACCCTGGAATGAATGTGGATCCATCTTATGATTTTATGAGATGCATTGCCGTCAGAAGGTTGATAGTTACACATGATGCTATCCGAATTGCCCGGTAAGTTGACAGAGCAAATTCTTGAGAATTTTCCGGGTGCATATATTGTTAGATGCACTGATATTCACCTCCTATGTGAACAGGGAGAAGGGAGATCATAGCAAAGCAATTTCCTATATGAGTGCATTTTCAACCTCGTGCTTGCCTCATCAAATAATCAAGTGGGTTGCTACTCAAATTGGCACAGAGAGGACCAAGAAGCCAGATATTAACACTCCTCAAGTAGTTCTCGGTGGGTATTCTTTATGTTCATGCCCTAGCACCAACAAATCCTTCATGACTAAAAAATGTTAGTTTCCTGCAGAGTGGCTTGTGAGTCTTGAAAATCTAACTAAAGATCAATGGCCAAGCTTTTTTGAGGATAACACATCAAAACTCTGTGCCAACTTGATGCTTGACAAGTCAAAAACCACCTCTGATGTCTCGGTTTTCAGTACTATTAGCAAGAAATCAGTCGCTGACTTCTTTTTTGACAAGGGAAATGTTGCTGAAGATGAGGAAATGCAATCAATGGATGATTTTGCATTTTTTGCTGCTTGTAGATCGACGAATTCACCTGTTAATGGGAAGAAGAGGAAAAATGTGGGAGATAAAGAGGAAACACCTGGGAAATTTATCAAGTACAAGATCGATGACAGCTTAATGAACGGTAATGGATTGAGCAGTGGTAGTGAAGTGGACAACCCAAACTCCGATGGTGAAGATTCAAACTCGGATGATGAAATGGAAGAGAACTAGACCAAAAGTATCAATGCTTAAGGTTTTTTGTCCGCGGTTATGTAATGATTTGCATTGTCCAAACATGAGAACTGCTACAAGTCTGGAATTGCTTTTGTTGTGCTGTTATATATTAGAATATAGGGGACTATGAATGTAGTAACTTCGATATTGTCTACGTAACCCAAGTATAGAGATTTGTATCTGGAGGCTACGAGTAGGATGTTGGGTATTAATCTGATGCTTGTTTGTACTATGAATTACTTTAGTAAGTTTTCTACCTAGTCGAGTTATACGTCTTTGTATTTACGGAGAATCTCTGCTCTGTTATTTTTTTGGGGTGGTTACGGATGATTGAAGATATATGCTACGCGCTAGCAACTAACATCATATAATAAAGTGCAAGCTTCATGCTAGTTGGAAAGATGTTTATTCTCATGTCCAAATCGCATTTCATGGAGAGTGAAGTGCACGCAGGTGGCGGATGTTACTTGATTTAGTCAAGATGATGTGTAAATTGGAAGGGGGACTAGCCACATTCGG